GTAGGGAAACAGGCACTTGAATAACTTGCTGTAAGTGTATATTCAGTGCAACTATTCCAGAGAGCAACAGTTCACACCATTTTGAGGGAAACTTTACAAGATTTCCTCATTATTCCCTAGTGGTGTAACTGCCAGGTCAAAGGATTTTATCTCAGTATTACATACAATAGTAATACATCAGGAGGAACCTAACATCCAATATTGGTAAATACTGTTTGCTGTATCCATTAAATAAATATCATCACATATTATAATAATGATGTAGATTGATTTTTCTTGACATGGAAATGTGATTAGTATACACTGATCTGAGAAAAAACCAAAGGATATAGATCAAATATATTATGATTAAACTATTAGTGTCTACACATATAGAAATAAAGAAGATTATATATACAAATATTAAACGTTCTTATCTTAGGGTACTGGGATTACAGTGGATTTTATATGCTTTCATTTTTCTAATATTTAAAAAGTAAATGATACTCTGATAATCTGCAGTGATAAAGGTGTTCCTATTTTGCTAAAAATAAAATAAGAGTATCCATGAATAAAGTCAAAAAAGATTACGCCACATATATAGAAACTCTACCCATACTGTAAGGACAGTCCTGGTTCCAAATTTCCCAGGAAAGCCGAATTAGCCACAGACCATTGTCATTCCTCTGAAGTCTTGAATGTATCCATCATTTGACTCTCAGCCTACGCTGACTTGAGTTCTTATTCAACCACTTTCTCTGGGTGTAGGTCTCCCTTTAGTGGTCAGAAATCCATGATTTATAAGCATATATTTATATGTCTCTTATATATTTGTACCTCTACCCTTCCTCCCCCACCCCCAACATTTATATATATACATCTATATATACTTTTATATATAGCTTATTTATATATATACTGCTTTTATATATCTATATACTGCTTTTAAATATATACACACATATATGTGTATATATATATGTGTGTGTATATATACATATATATATGTGTATATATATATGTGTGTGTGTGTGTGTATATATATATGTATATATATATATATATATATATATATATATATATATAT